TTAATAATAGGAAGTGCTGACTCATTAAATATGTTTAAATAGCAAGAAACTCTTGCTCAAAAAGGTACACTACAAAGTGGATAAATTTTCTGTGATTCCTTGATTTAAGTAGTTCATTTTAATTTATGTGTATACTCGTGTATATATATTTCTCGATTGTCATATTTGTACTTAGTGTTGTGCATTTTTGTTTTTATATTATATTTTATCTCGATATTAGAATTTGAAAAATTTTAAAATAAAAAATTTCATTTATGAATATTTTGTTTGTTTCTTTTCCTTTGAATTTTAACTTATGTTATCTATCTTTGTTAATAAGAATGTAATTAATTCTTCAACAATAAATAATTTTGAATCGATTCAAATAAACTTGTGTATAATGTTAACGAATGCTGAACAATAAAATTAAGGTGAAATGAATTATGGACAGTATATTTTTTTAGTCGCCAATTTTCTTAAATACTCAGTTTGAAAGTATGTAGTCACTTTTATAGATTATAAATGTAATAATTTAATTTTAAAATAGTCATCAAACATGGCCATCAATAACTTGTATGGTTGGGTGCTGGTAAACCCCTTTATGTATTTAATAAATAGAAACACTTGGCAAAACATACTTTATTTTAATAAAAAGCACAGAGGTGTTATTTTAAATTGGTTTATTTATGTTTAAAAATGGTTGATACATAATGTTTACTTCTTTATCTTTCTTAACACTTTATAATGTATATTTCTTGTTCTAAATTTAAACATTTAGCCCAGTCTCTTAAGGTAGTAAACCCAGGTAAAGGATAATGAACAGTTCTTAAAAATCTATAAGCCTTAGGACTAATGCTTCTTAGAGAGATTGTGGATGCTATGTCATCCGAACTTCAACGAATTCTTTTTTTATTTTCATTGCATAAAACATTTATTTGACCCGGAGTGAAACATTTACATTACTTTCCTGAATTTCCACTTGAGAATTATTTTTCAACTGGCTAATTTCTTCTTTCAATGAAAGTATTTCTATATTTGATTTGTTGCATTTTTTAGTAATTTTGTTTAGTTTTTTACGAAGACTCTTAATAGTTTTCTCTAAAATAATAATTTCATTTCGGTGGTCACATCTGAAACAATAACATACAGTTAATATTGAAATAAAAGCAATTATCACTTCAAAGTTTAATATTTAATTAAAAAATTGTTTTGAAATGATTGTAATGTTAATTAGTACATGCTAAGTTGTGTAATTTTCTTTTCAAAGCCACATTTTTTGTTAATAAGGTAAATTTGTACATACGTTTCTAGTTCTGATGATACCAATATATTTTGAGTGTCTGTTTCCAAACTTTGATTCTCCTTGTCCTGGTCTGCAGTTGACAATTGTCTGGAATGTTCCGAAATATTAACAAAGCTCTCATTAAATGTTTGTCTATATATTTTTGCCTGCCTTCTTAATCTATCGTCACTTTCTGCAGACAATTGTCCTTTTTTCAATGGGAGATTTTCAGTAGGAACTGCCGTTTGTTTTAAGTTTCTGCCAGTCTTAGTGGAGTAGTTTAATAGCCTCTGCTGTAAAGGTATTTCAAAACTATCCTTCGAAAAATGTATGGAACAAATACAAGCTTAAAAAAGGAACAAGACATAAAATGAATCATATTCAAATTAGGTTTGCAAAAATCATACCATTTTTCAAATTAATTGTATTTTTTCTCCCGCAAGCGTTGACCCAGGCTTTGACTATATCTGTTTTCGGAAAGCCAAAATACTTAATATTTGTTCCCTTTGTTTTTCTTGAATAGTTCGTGCAGCCAAACACTGCACAACCTGGCATTTTGTTAGTAACTACACACCCTAAAATATAGTAGATTTTGATGTACCAATAATAATAATAATAATAATGATATATTAAAATAACAATAATGAATAGAAACTATTTTTGTTTATCTTTAAAATACAACAAAAATGTTACATAACCCAACTTTATATCAATTACACTACCAATTTAATTAGAAATTAATTGAATAATACGTACCAATAATTTCTAAACAGGCCTATTGATATATAGAAATGATATTAAATATTAAGATAAATATATCTATAAACTTCTAAACACTACCAGGAAAATATTTGAATAACTTTAAAAGTCGCTTTTTAACATTGGAGACATAAGCAAAACAAAAATATGCTTCGAAACTAACGTCATGCGCAAGAATGACCAAATTTCGTACCGCTTACCGCTTCACCTGTATTTCTTCCACCATGTCAGACTACTAAATATTAATTATCGTTTTTGCAACCCGCTGTTTTTTAAATGTCAAATATTAGAAAACAAAACATAATGGTAATACTTTAAACAACTTTAAAAATAAATAAAAACCTAACTACAATAAATAATAAATGTACTAAATACCAAAGTACAAACACTAAACAAATTAGGTACATTTAAAATATAATATTTTAATTTTATTTGATAATTGATTACCTTTCCAGCACCTCAACCCTCATCCTCATAATGAATTATTAATTATTTTTATTATTACATTTCAAAAGAATTAGATTTTCAAAATTGTTGCGGTAACGCGTTACTTTTAAAGTAACGCATTACTGTAACGAAGTAACGATTTTTCGTTACTTTGAGAAAGTAACGCCGTTACCGTTACTTTTCGCTGATTTAAAAAAGTAACGAAATTACTAGTAAAGCGTTACTTTAAGTAACGCGTTACTAAAGAGTAACGTTTTAATTTCATTACTCCCAGCTCTGCTGGAAAGCTACAATAAATTTGTCATGAGCATGCATATAAATGTGCATTAGCATTGAAGGTTGAACAATAGTTGAGAAGTATAAATGAAGAATAATAGAGAGCCAATGATACGGCTTTGTGGTACTCCTGAGTTAAGATTTAAGAAATCTGAATCATAACCCCCTATACAGACTTTTTGTTACCTATCATTTAAATACCAAGTCATCAACTGTAGTGAGAGAATCCAATATACTTCAAAATACTTATCAATAAAAAAATTTTGAATTTAGTTTATGGAATATATCGCCAATCTAAATCCAAAAGATCAGAATTATCTGAAATAAGTTGTACAAATAATTTGAAAATTCGGAAACAGATCTCAAAAATCCCCCTACGAATTATTAAGACCATCCCCGGAACCCAAAAGTGAAAGCACATACTTGGAGATTTGAACAACAGGCTGAAAGTTTATTTGAACCGTTAATTCATTAGATTTGTTGTTTTTAGGGTTTATTTATTTTTATTTGTATTCTTTGGAATTATTTATTTTTAATTTTTTTAAATTTGCAATATTTTTTTTAAGTCTGTTATGACAAAAAACAGTATTTATCTTCATAAAAGAAATTATTTTGCTATACCTATTGTAACAAATAATTTATGGAATTCAACGGAATGTCATAAATCTTATTTTAGAAGAGGAGCTAGAAATACATCCTAAGTGTAACGATTTGATATTGAATTCAAAATTATTTTAAAAGCTAACGGATCACATTATATTGTGATTCCTCACTTTTGCTGAAGTATGTAGTGAGGCGGTTCTCGCTGATCAGCTATGTTTGTTACATGTACATGCCCCTATTATAATTTGTCTAATTCATTGTAAAATATAAATTTAAATACCTGTATATTTGTATTTATCTTGGTGTTGGATGTGTATAATCCAACAGAGTAACAGACTACTTTCTCCACGGACAGACACAATAGGAGTTGAAAATAGTAAAATGAAACTTTGAATAAAATTAAATATTTAATCTAACTTATGTTAGGCATGTTTTTATTTAAATTATTTGCATAATTTGTCAGTTCAGTAGGAATATTATCAAATTCTATATAAGAATCATTATATTCACCAATTTTTCAATATAAGTTCGACTTAACTAACGCCGCTTATTTTTATTCGGGCAAATTCAAACTCAATACTAATACGTTGCATAGAATTGTCAGTCATGAAATTCATGACTATCTACGATGCGGGCGTGGTATTCACAGCCATTATATACATAGTAGCTATTACACAATGAACATTATATCTCTAGAGTTAAAATGAAATACGTGTAAAATACATAATAGACTAGTGTTTTAGAATTTTCTTTCAATCTCAAGAGGGAGAATGTTTTATTTCTGTTATTATAAGTGGTTTCGGAAGAACTACATTGATTAGTGGCCGTGGATAATAGCTATTTGTGTATTAAGAGCAAAAAGTGATACTTTGCCGCTTGAGACACACAGTTGGCAATTAACTTTTCGCTCAAAATGCACACACGATTTTTTCTACGATCACATTATTTTATGAAATAGATATTAAACTGTACATTTGTCGTAAATAGTGTATAATGTGTTGCCTATATCTACGGTAATCATTAAAAACTGAGTTGATATTCAAAGTCAAAGTTATCTTGGATAATAAAACAAAAAACATCAAACTACGTACAAATAACTTGAAAATCGTTTATTAAAAAGACATTTTTATATATCTAATTTAAATTAGGCGAGCAACAAAGCTGTCAAGTCTGTCACTTTATGTCAGTTCGCAGAAAACGTCAACTTTGCGGTTGCATTTCGAAGCGAAAAAAACCTACTTTGGATAGTGCTCGTAGAAAAATTATATTTTTCTACACCCACATGGATATTATAGCTATTCTACGCACACACTACAAAACGAAAAAGTATGCCATTGCGTTCAACTGAGTAAATATATTTCAGTTCCATTCTACCTAGAAAGAAAACTGCAAAAATATGAAATTCACCAATTACAGTTCTTATTTTGGTCACCAGAATACTATTATTTTTTTTTAAATTTGAAATAAATATCTCGGACGATTGAACTCTCCGCCTACGGTGTTTCAAAATTCGTCTTCGTGCAATGTAGCTTTCATATCCACTCTTGTTGCACAAACTACTAATTTATTACGTTCTTGGTACTTAATGGGAATGTCGGATGTTATTTTGTAAAGTTTTTTTTAACGATCAAATAATTTTATTCCTTATTTCTAGGGAAAGTCGTAGTCACTGCACTCCCCCAAATAGAAACAAAAGAGCTAACAATGGACAACCTTGAAGAACTAATGGAACGAGTTCGGAACGTTATGCAAGAAACGTTTAACGAAACCAGCAAGGAAATCATTGACGGCTACGCACCACTTTCTAGTCAAAAAATTACGTGAAAGTAACTAACCATTTTTTTGTAGCAAGGTATAGGTAGATATGTTTTAATATTTTACAAAAATAAAACACCTAAACCCTGTACTGGGAGTGGGCAAATGACAAGAATAGAAGCTAGTAATATACAGGTGGAACATACAATATTCTGTGTGGATTTTTTTTTTTTTTCGTTTGTTTGGAGACCATTTCTAGATACTTTTTTTTTAATAAATATTAATCTAGATACATTTTTATTCAGAGAAAGACCCGAGAATACCGATCAAGGAGAAGCGACAGTAGCTGTCGGTGCCTTTGATATCGGATGTACCTTTTTCAAAGCATGACTTTGATTGATACACAACTTAGCACGCTGAGAAAACATGCTTATTTTCTACACTGAGCGAAATAGTTTGGCAAATTATCTGAAATTATTGTTATAATCCATGCACAAATGTTGCAATGTGATTTAATTACATTGAAGTAGTTTGGGTTAATAGCAATGGTGAAATTTCGGCACCAAAATATAATTCATTATGTAATAATTAATTATTTGTTATAAAAGTAAAAGACGTTTATTATTTTATAATTTATCTATAAAATTTGTTCAATATTTGGTTTATTGTTAAAAATGTAATAAAAGCCCCATATTTAAATTAAATTACCTTTTCCTTAAGTAAAAATAAGATAAATAAAGTTAAGAATGCCAAAAAAAATTAGGTAACAATTAAAAAGACATTAAGTTTAAGAGGTTTAACTAAATATTTGCAATGTGCATATATTTTCAAAGCTTTTAGGTCTAAAAAGTACTTACATATTTTTAGAATTTCTAGATTTATATTATATTAAAAGGACTTTTAGGTTTATCACTCATTTCTGTAGAAACAAATGTTTTCTCGCCAAGTTAAACGAGATGTCATTTAAGGTTTATGTATTTAGAGTTAAATACCTGGCCTGGCTATCACCCAGACAATACAAATATGTCCATTGGAGACGTCCATTCGATATACAATTTTGGATGTCTAGACGTCCAAAAATGAGTTTTCTGGACTTCCGACATCCAATGGACGTCCAGTGAAGTATGCAAATAGTACACTTTTGACCATTCAGAGGACGTCCAATTCTGGAATATATTTGGACGTCGAATACTGGACATTCAAAACACGTCCATGATTATATTTCCATTGAGACCACATCCCCATTTTTTTTACAGAACCGCAACTCACCAAACACTATTTTATATTATTAATAATTTGTTTATTATTTTCGCAAACCGCTATTCACCATTTATTTATTTTTTATTAAAAATTGGTTGACCTGAGCAGGAATCGAACTCACAACACATCCATTATCGTTTTACGCTTTCAATCGCTAGATGAGCTCGACCAAGGAACCACTTGAAAACTTTTTACTAGACACAGTTATAATTGAATAAGATTTCAAACTTCCGCTAATAGAATGAAATGCAATAGATTCAATTTGTCAATTTTTAATGACCAGTTATATTAAAAAAAAGAAGTATATATAGATGGGTATTATCTGGTAGGCTTAATAAATAATGACCTAAGATGGACGTCAAAATACTACTAAACTTAAAATTAAGTCCAAAAAGAGACGTTCTCTGGGTATCGATATTCAGCTGGCAATTTAATTAGCATAAACGGACGTACACTGGATACCCGGATATGGACGTCCTGACCCTCAAATAGATCTAAAGTGGACGTCCATTGGACTATGTGTGCATAGACGAATTTTTAGAAATAGTACTTATTTAAGTATGCACCAATATTTCCAAAATCAACTCCAGTATAATTCATTCAATAAATGTAAATATGAATGGGCAAAACATCTTTATATTGACATAATTGTAACTTACAATTTAGCCATAATAAAGGGATTTCGCCCACTTTGACCAATCCTAATTGAAACACGCGAATTTATTATGTTTTTTAAAATATAATTTCAAAATAAAATAAACAAAATCTACAGTGCATTGTTTATTAAATTTATTTAAAAGAACAAAAACATATATTTCACAAAATACAATACCTACATATGAAAAATAAAATGTCAAAAATGATTAAATCATTATACTTAATATTTATGCATGTCATAAAATTCTTAGTTTCCTAATAACTTTTTTGACACATTTTATATCTGTATTAGAATACCTAAGTGTGTAAAAATCTTCATCTTATTACTACACAAAACAAACACCAAAAAATATCACTTAACATTGCTCACGTACTAAACACAATTTGGACTGACTTTGACAGATAGCCTAATTTTGAGTGATACACAACTTAGTTTCGCACATGCGCGTTACAAAACGGTACACTGAAAACACCAAGCTGTCGCTTCTCCTTGATCGGTATTCTTGGGAAAGACTAAGAATGGTTGCGACAGTAAGCAAAAGTGGTTAGCTGTTGCTTCCTTGAACATCAAGTAAATTTTTATGGGAGTTGTCATAGTCAAAATTATAAATGTGATTTTGTATTAGAATACCTAGATATTAAGCTTTTTACCACGGGTGTCTAACCCGCGACTTTTGACAATTTGAGACGAATATTAAAATAAAATGTAATAAACACGTGTCATTTGCAGAATTGTGTAAGATTTCCTCTTTGCTCAAATGGGCTTTGGAAGTGAAAAGATTAGATACTCCTACTCTACACCATCAAATCGATTTCTTTATTTTTATATATTATATAGCAATGTTTTTCTGCAAAATAATGATTTCTTGTAGAAAATCATTGAAACTGATTCAATTGTGTTTTTTAAATAAACAACACAAGATTACATAAGTGTTAACGAGGTAAGCCTTATTTGTATTTTTATTATTTGAAATAATTAAGCATTACAACGACCTGTCAAAATGCTGCCTGTAGGTAATGACAGGTTATATTGCATCGCAAGTGCTCATTAATTAGAATCGGTTTAGCAAAATTCTGTTTTAAAACCAATTTTCAGCCTTTGAATAAAGTGAAAAAAAAATTATTTACATTTTTTACTTCACTTATGTTTATTTTGGAAAACATCAATCTATATCATTGACCCTGTCATATCACCAGGATTGTTCATATCATAACCTGTTTATTACACACTGGTAGCCATTTTGTTTGGAATGCCTAATTATGATTTACATTTCTGTGTTGCCACCTGTACATTATTTTAGATCTTTTTTATAAAAAATTAATCACTGATAGATTAATTATAATAATTTTTATCTACCCTTATACCTATGTGAAACAACATAGTTTATCCGAATACATTATAGTGCCATTTTTTAAACGGATCTAGTCAATTGATATTTTTTACTGTTTGTACTCGATTTTTATTTTTTTTTATAATATGGTGAATTTATTTGTTAATTTAATGGTGTATCTTGTCTTTACCATAAAGTGTGCACCACAAAAACAAATATTGTATTAGTGTAGAACAGAGGCAGAAGTTGGTAGATGGGAAGGTGGTAAACGTCGAATCTCTAGTTCGTTCGCCAGTGTCGTATTGTAGAATACAAATAATACCAAACATTTTAAATTGTCACAATCCTATATATTTATGGTCTAGAAATAATAATTTAAACAAGTATTATAATATCCAAAATTATATTTTTAGAAAATTTCAGCAGCTATTTACACGAAACTTTTATTAGCATCTATAAAATAATTTTCTGCGCCAATGTATCGCGTTTACTTCGGTTAGCTCCGAGGAAAACTGTCAAATCCTGTGTATAAAGTAAGTAAAGTAAATTTTATTTGACTACGTTACATAGTACAACATATGTATGTAGCAAGTCGCAAAAGACGTACATATCAAAATAAAGACTTATTAAAAATAAAATATAGTAGAATAAAATAACTCACAAATTAAGTTAAGTGAGTATAAATAAAAGAGAAGAAAACATATGAGTAGAAGGTTTAAGAACTACGAAAGTAAGGAACTGCGAAAAGCTTGTCCAACTTCTGTCTCTGCTCTAATGATTGATTTACTTGTAAATTTAATAATGTTAAGAAATAGGAGTAAGTTCTCCGTTTTTATTAAAATTTGACAAAGGATATATGATTTAAATCAATAATAATTGTAACATATAGGTACATGTTTAAGTGCAGACTTTATTGTAAACTTATTGAACCATTTCCTGTTTTTACTTTCACCATTCCTGACAGCTAGAATTGAATATTCTATCATGTCCATTTTCCAAAGTGTTAAGTTGAAATTATTTTTGTTTTTTTTTTATATTTTATTTGCACTATTATATTGATAAGTATTGAAATGACAATTATTGATAGTTAAGAGTCTGTTTTATTTGAAATTTCTATGTAATTGTATGTCGAAGAGTATTATTAGTAGAGGAAAATTTAATATTTACATTTTCTATATGAAACATGAATAAACGTCACTCTCAGAAAATAAAGACTTTTTAAAAATAATATATTTTATTTATTAGGTTTTTGGGTTTTATTTTTTTTTTTGTAAATATTGTGTAATTTTTTGAAGTGAAACACTTCTTACAGCTCGTTCTGGCATGAAAAATATGTACAGGGATTCTTATTTGCGGACATTACAGAAAAATCGTAGTCTGTCGAACGAAGATAGGCGTCTCGAAAGGTGAGAATTTCACTGATGATACGTGTACAATTCTCGGCTCGCCCTGTCATGGAAAAAAATGATGTGTGAACTGATAGAGACGACATATTTCGATGTTTCTAGCAATGACATATCTAAATGTCCCGACACCTCTTCAGCCTAGAGGCCCATTCCAACTGTGTACGATCGATTAAATAAAAATAAATAAAAAACTAAAAATAAAAAAAATTGAAACAAATCTCAATGTCCCCATACCTCGACAACCTAGCCCAGAAGTCCCATTTCGACTGTACAATCATCATTCGTGCATATATAAATAAATAATAAAAATTAATAGATAATACACAAAAAAAAAATAAGTTACGACTCGCCTTGGTATGAAAAATATGAGTGGATTGATGAAAACAACATATTTCGATGTCCCAACGCCTCGACA